TAGGACACAAAGTAAATCTCAAGAAATTTAAAAAAGTAGAGATCATACCATGTATTTTCTCAGATCACAGTAGAATAAAAGTAGAAATCAACCCTAACAGAAACTCACATTTCTACACAAGAATGTGGAAATTAAACAACCTCCTAATAAATGATTATTTCATAAATGAAGAAATCAAGATGGAAATAAAAAATATTTGAACAAAATGACAATGGAGATATAAGTTATCAAACCCTCTGGGACACAGCTAAAGTAGTACTGAGAGGTTTATTTCCATAAATGCCTATAACTAAAAGTCAAAAAGATCACAAATAGACAATCTAATGAAAGGACTCAAAGAGCTGGAAAAAGAAGAGCAGTCCAATTCCAAACCCAGCAGAAGAAGTGAAATTAACAAGACCATGTCAGAACTAAATGAAATAGACAACAGGGAAGCTATACAGGAGATTAATAAAAAAAAAAGTTGATTCTTTGAAAAAATAAACAAAATTGACACTCCTTTAGCTAGGCTAACACAAAGCAGTAAAGAGAAATCTCTAATAAGCTCCATCAGGAACAAAAAAGGAGATATCACAACTGATCCCAAGGAGATACAAGATATAATCTACAAATACTACAAAAACCTTTATGCACACAACCTGGAAAATGTGGAGGAAATGGACACATTTCCAGAAACACACAGCTTCCCTAGTTTCAACCAGGAAGAAATAGAATTCCTGAACAGACCAATGTCAAGAACTGAAATAGAAACAGCAATTAAAAATATGCCTAAAAAGAAAAGTCCCAGTCCAGATGGTTTCACACCCAAATTTTACCACACTTACAAAGAAGAACTGGTGCCTATCTTGCAGAAATTATTCCACAACATTGAGAAGAACGGAAACCTTCCCGACACCTTTTATGAAGCGAATATTACTCTGATACCAAAACCAGGAAAGGATGCAACAAAAAAAGAAAACTGCAGACCAATATCCCTAATAAATATAGATGCAAAAATTTTCAACAAATCCTAGTAACGAATCCAGACACTTATCAAAAAATAATCCACCACGACCAAGTGGGCTTCATCCCAGGGATGCAGGGATGGTTCAACATACGTAAATCTGTAAATGTAATTCACCACATAAACAGAAGCAAAAACAAAGACCACATGATTCTTTTCAATAGATGCAGAAAAAGCTTTTGACAAAATTCAGCACACTTTCATGATAAAAAACCCTTAATAAAATAGGCATAGAAGGGACATACCTAAAAATGATACAAGCCATATATGACAGACCCATAGCCAACATCATACTGAATGGGGAAAAATTGAAAGCATTCTCACTTAGAACTGGAACCAGACAAGGCTGCCCACTGTCTCCACTTCTATTCAGCATAGTGTTGGAAGTCCTGGCTACAGCAATCAGACAGGAAAGTGGAGTTAAAGGTATCCAACTAGGGGCAGAAGAGATCAAACTTTCACTGTTTGCTAATGATATGATATTATATTTAGAAAACCCCAAAGATTCAACCAAGAAACTCCTGGAACTGATAAATGAATTTAGTAAAGTCTCAGGATACAAAATCAATACACAGAAATCAGAGGCATTCATATATGCCAACAACAATCAAACTGAGGCTCAATTCCCTTCACAATAGCAACAAAGAAAATAAAGTACCTTGGAGTATACTTAACCAAGGAAGCAAAAGACCTCTACAGGGAGAACTATGAAATACTGAGGAAGGAAATAGCAGAGGATGTAAACAGATGGAAATCCATTCCATGCTCGTGGATCGGCAGACTCAACATCATTAAAATGTCTATACTACCCAAGCTGATCTACAGATTCAATGCAATACCTATTAAAACCCCATCATCATTCTTCACAGATATAGAAAATATAATTTTATGCTTCATTTGGAACCAGAGAGGACCCCGAATATCAAAGCAATTTTGGGCAATAAAAATAAAATGAGAGGTATTAATATGCCAGATATCAAACTATACTATACTGCTGTAGTAATTAAATCAATCTGCTATTGGCACAAAAATAGGAATATTGACCAGGGGAACAGACCTGAGAATCCTGATATAAGACCATCCTCATATAGCCATCTAATCTTTGACAAAAAACAAAAACATACACAGAGGAAAATAATCCAGTTTCAATAAATGCTGCTGGGAAAACTGGATAGCCACTTGTAGAAGGCTAAAGCAGGACCCACACCTCTCACCTCTCACAAAAATCAACTCACGCTAAATAACAGACTTAAACCTAAGGTACGAAACTATTAGAATTCTAGAGGAAAATGTTGGAAACACTCTCCTAGACATCGGCCTATGCAAAGAGTTTATGAAGAAGTCCCCAAAGGCAATCAAAGCAGCAACAAAAATAAATAAATGGGACATGATCAAACTAAAAAGCTTCTGCACAGCCAAAGAAATAGTCATGAACGTAAACAAACAACCTACAGAATGGGAGAAAATTTTCACATCCTACACATCTGATAAGGGGCTGATAACTAGAGTCTACTTAGGACTCAGGAAAACAGCAAGAAAAAAAATCAAACAACCCTATCAAGAAGTGAGCAAAGGACTTGAACAGAAACTTTTCTAAAGAAAACAGAAGAATGGCCAACAAACATATGAAAAAATGCTCAACATCACTAATCATCAGGGAAATGTAAATCAAAACCACAATGAGATATCACTTCACTCTAGTGAGAATGGCCTTCATAAAAAGTCCCCAAAAAATAAATGCTGGCATGGATGGACAGAGATAAGAACACTTCTACACTGCTGGTGGGACTGCAAACTAGTTCAACCTCTTTGGAATGCAATACAGAGATACCTTAAAGTGATACCAGTGGATCTACCATTTGATTCAGCAATCCCATTACTGGGCATCTACCCAAAAGATCCAATGGCATTCTACAATAAAGACACCTGCACTCGAATGTTCTTAGCAGCAGAATTCATAATTGCAAAGTTGTGGAAACAACCCAAATGCCCATCAATCCATGAGTGGATTAATAAAATGTGGTATATGTATACCATGGAGTACTATCCAGCTCTAAGAAACAACGGTGATATAGCACACCTTGTATTTTCCTGGTTAGAGCTGGAACCCATAGTACTAAGTGAAGTATCCCAAGAATGGAAAAACAAAAACCTCATATACTCACCAGCAAACTGGTCTTAACTGTTCAGCACCTAAGTGGACACATAGGAACTACAGTAATTGGGTATTGAGCAGGTGGGAGGGGGGAGGGGGGTGGGTATATATATACATAATGAGTGAGATGTGCACCATCTGGGGGATGGTCACGCTGGAAGCTCAGACTTGTGAGGGATGGAGTGGAAAAGGCATTATTTGAAACCTTAAAATTTGTAACCCCATAATATGCTGAAATAAAAATTAAAAAAAAGAAAGAAAAAAATACATAGTGGATTATTCCACTTATATAAAATTCCAGAAAAATGAAAGAAAATAGACCATTGGTGTCCTGGTGATAAGGCCAAGGCTGAGGAGGAGGAGGAGGATATTTCTAAAGGAAGATATAAGGGACTTTAGGGGAAATGGCATGTTTACTATCTTCCTTGTGGTGATGACGTCACAGGTATATACATGTGTCAAATTGTACACTTTAAATATATTTAGTGTATGTCAAATTGTACGCTTTTACCTCAATATAACTTATACCTCAGTAAAGCTGTTTTGAAAGAAGAAGAAGAAGAAAGTAACCATGTGATGCAGCCTTAAAGTAGTACAATAAAACAATAAATTAGTTTTGGACATAGTTCCAGTTATTTTCTTGTGTTCTCTGAACTCTATAGAATTAACTCTTTAAGACACCCTCATGTTTTTCTGATAGTGCTTCTTCCAGATCCCTCCACTATTCCCACATACCTTTGTGTTCAAATTCCCTAAATATGTCACCTTCTACACACAGCCTAAGGGAAAACATTCTGTATTTTTCCAATCATATTAAATCTAGTTTCATATGCCATATATTAGCCAAAATGTGCTAAATAGGCATTTTTCCTGCTAATCCTGGCCCTATTATAGTTCAAAAACCTCAGGATATCAGGGCAAAGAAATGATAGAAGATGCCTCATCTTCATTCTGTTAATCATTCTGCTACACAAAACTATGTTTTTGCATTCAGCATTCATTGGTTCTTCAATTGTGCCAGGCAGTAAACTAAAGGCATTTTCTTAGTCCTCACACCAACTCCCTAGGAAAGGTGCTAAGTAACATCGTTTTCTACTCACTTGCTGTGTGACTTAGGGCTAGTCCAATATCTTCTCTGATTACCAACTTTGAAATGGAAATGAAAAGACAAAAAAAAAAAAAATACAAACAAACAATTTACATAGAGCTTCTTTTTTGGTAAAATAAAACCCCAAATTTTCTTCTAAAAAATGTTTGAAAGAATATAAAGCCCTTGGGATAAATAACAACTGTCAGAAAAAAATATTTCCCAAATACACCAAGCATTGTTGTCATCCTGAAGATTTTGAAAGAGTTTGCTCATATGTTGAAATAACACATGCAAACATCTCTATTCAGAAGCAGGTCAGAGAGCCAGTGAAACCAACCCACCTCCACCCTTGGCGGAGAAGGGGGAATCTCAGTGGCCAGAGCTTAGTCCCTCCTCCCTCAGGGCCTGCCAGTTAGACCAGACTGTCACTGCCCCATGCTCTTTACCAAGGCACATTTATTGGTGAAGGAGGATGCTGATCAGGAGGCTAAATAGCAGGGAGAGAAGTGAAGAGAGAAAGGTGGTCTAGCCTCCATCAGGGCAGGAAAGATTCAGGACAGACAGAGAAGTGGAACCTGGAAAGCTGCTCACTAGCAGGTCTGTGAAGAGACAACTTGGCTAAAAAGTGTTCAGTGCAGGGATCATACTGCAGTGGAGAGAAAAGGGAGAAAAGCCACCATCTTGTGGTTCAATCAGAGGCAAGTATTAGAGATTTCAGGAGTTGACCCAGAAATCCTAGGGATTCAAAGACAATGAATCTGAAAGAAAAGTGTGGGCAAAACGGGAGCCTTGTAGGGAGGAGTCAGCCACACCTGGGTGAGGAGCATCAGGAACACGAGAAAGCTGTGGCAAGTGCAGGGGCTGAGGTCTATGTGAAGCAGGAGGCAAATGGGAAGCAAGAAATTCCCAGCAAAAACCTCAACATGTACACCTGGCAGGAGATCCAGAGACACAACCAGGATGCCGACCAGTGGCTGGTCATCAACCGCAAGGTTTACAATGTCACTTCCTGGGCAAACAGGCATCCAGGTGGGCGCCGGATCCTGAAGCACTATGCTGGGGAAGATGCCACGGTAAGAAACTCTCTCTCTCTCTCTCTCATTCTCTCCTCCTGACCCCGAGCTGCTGGGTGGCTGAGATTTTGGCTGTCTTCCCCTAAAGCATGTGTGTACATGTTCAGGCTCCACAATCTCTTCTCTCCTCCCAAATCAATTTTTAAAGATTCCTATCAGTGAATAGCAAGAACTTGAAAACAAATGAAGCCTCAAGGTCTAGCTATTAGCTGCACCCAGTTTGTGATGAGCCCTGCCATTGACAGTAAATACTCAATTTTGGTATTCTGGGTTTTGTTTTATTCTTAGTGTATTATTTGGCTTTGTTTGGAAGTGAAGTCACTGCCTTGTAAGAAGAAAGATACAAAGAGGTAAATATAATATGGGGGAGAAAAAAACAATCTGCACCCAAGTAGACATTTCTAAGACTCTTACATTTAGAGTGTCTAAAAGAAAGAAAGCAATTCATTCAGTCTGCTTCAAAATGTCGTGACTAGTGATGAAAGCTTACAATCACCTAGTCTTTGAGGGCTCAAAGAGCTCTTTTGCATCCTGAAGCTCACTTGGTGCGATACAGGTGATACAACCCACTTTTATGGACACATTCAAATGCATCACCTTGCATAGACCTACCCAGGAGGAGGGTAACTATTATTCTCATACTACAAATGAGAAAAATTAATATTCAAACAGGTAAATAATGTGTCACACAGCCAGCAAGTGATAGTGCCACATTTTGATATCAGTTTGGATTGGCCAGAAAGCCCTTTATAACTGGATCCTTAAGAAAATAGCATTTTCACTGAATATTTGAAAAGGAGGTATCCCAAAATCCTAAGTGCATTTAGAAATCCTTTGTAAAATGTTCCATAGGAAGCTTTTTTTCTTCCTTTCTGAATATTCCCAGATACATCCCTACTATTTCCCTCAGATTTGTTTTTTTTAAACAAAGTTCAACCTTTGTTTTGGAAATGTGCATCAGCTTGTAGTGAGGGATTTCCACATGCTGTGTAGAAAGCTACAGAGGAGAGAGCACAAGAACCAAGGTGAAGAGCGTTTGTGTGAGAGTAACAGCAGAAAAATTAACAAAAAGAAAATGAAAATTACAACAGATCCTAGCTATCCATCCCTTCATTTCTCCAACTCAGAGAAAATATGGAGGAAGCTTTTCCAGTATGAGTCGCAGAATCACCTCAGAGACCATGCTGGTGAGGACACGGGTCTTCAACCACCTTGGAAATCACTGACAGCCTCATGGGGTTCAAGGTAGCACAGATTATAAATCTGTGATTTGTTGGTTCTTTTTAAACTCAGAAGTCAGAAAAATATCCTGTCGTCATATCCACCTATAGCACAAGAGTAGGAATTAATGAATTTAATAGAAATCATCAGGATCTTAGAAACAAATATTTATGCCACCTTTGGATTCATATATGATTTTTTTTGAGCGGGGGGCGAAGACTTATTTTACATGTGTCCATGTTTTTAAAAAAATATTTCACAATAAGCAAATATTACTTTAATAATTAAAAGTCCTGACTTAGAGTCTTTTATGCAAAAAAAGTAGGACCTTTTCAAATCCTGTTCTGTATCTAGATTTTGGTGTGCTTTTCTTTTTGTTTGTTTTGTTTTTTTTAATTCAGGATATTGTGTAGGTACAAACATTTTGTTTACTTGAAATGCATTCTCCATTTCCTATAACTGTGGGTTTTTCCCCCCCAACTCCCTCTACCACAACACAACCAATCCCCCTGCCTGACCAGCACCCAGTGAGTATTCCTACCATGTGAGCACCTTAGTGTTTATGAATTAGTACCAATGTAATGGCGAGTACGGGTGGTACATGTTTTTTTCATACTTGTGATACCTCACTTCAAAGGATGTGCTCAAGCTCTGTACTGGATAATATAAGTGGTGCTAGTTCACCATTGTTTTTTGTAGTGGAGTAGTATTCCATGTGGTATACTTATACCACATTTTATTAATCCACTTATGTATTGATGTGCACTTGGGTTGTTTCCACATCTTTGTAATTGTGAATTGTGCTGCTATAAACATTTCAGTGCAGATATCTTTATTTCAGAGTGTCTTATTTTTCCCTTTGGATAGATGCTTAGTAGTGGGATTTCTGGCCCAATTTTTTTTTCTATTTTTAGCTCTTTAAGGTATCTCCAAATTACTCTTCAACACAGGTTGTACTAATTTGTAGTCCCACCAGCAGTGTAAGAGTGTTCCAGTCTCTCCATACCCATGCCAGCAAATATTTTCTCCCATTCTGTAGGTTGTGTGTTTGCTCTCATGATAGTTTCCTTGGCTGTGCAGAAGCTTTTTAATTTGATGAGGTCCCATTTATATATTTTTATTGCTGCTCTGATTGCCTTGGGGGTCTTCTTCATAAATTCTTTGCCTAGGCCAATGTTTGAAGACTCTTCCCAACCTTTTCTTTCAGAATTCTTAAGGTTTCACATTTTAATTTTAGGTCTATTATGAGTTAATTTTTGTGAGAGCTGAAAGTTGGGGATCCAGTTTCAATCATCTTTAAGTGAATATCCAGATTTCCCAGCACCACTTATTGAGTAGAGATTCTTTTCACAAATGTATACTTTTGTCTGCTTTGTCGAAAATTAGATGACAACGTGAGGATAGTTTTATATCTGGGATCTCTGCCCTGTTCCAAAGATCTATATCTCTGTTCTTGTGCCAGTGCCATGTTGTTTTGGTTACTATAGCATTATAGTAGAGTTTGAAGTCATACTGATGCCTCTAAATTGGTTCTTTTTACTTAAGATAGCTTTGTCTATACAAGGTCTTCCCTGGTTCCAGAGGAAGCATAGAATTATTACTTTCTAAATCTGTAAAGAATTATGGTGCTATTTTGATAGAGATTGAATTAATTTTGTAGATCACCTTAGTTTGTATGTAGACTTTAACAATATTAATTTTACCGAAAGGTTTTGCGTCTTTGATTTTTGGCTAGAGTGTTATTAGCGTGTATGCCAAGGACTTATGTGCATTAATTTTGTATCCTGAAAATTGACTGAATTCATTTATCAATTCCAGGAGTCTTCTGGTTGAATCCTTGGGATTTTATAGATAGAATAATAGCATATGATCAGCAAAGAGTGAGAGTTTGACCTCTTCTGTCCCCATTCAGACACCCTTAATTCCCTTCTCTTGTCTGATTGCCCTGGCAAGGACTTCCACCACTATATTGAAGGGAAGTCAAAATAGTGGGCAGCCTTGTCTGTTTCCAGTTCTAAGTGGGACTTCTTTCAATTTTCCCCCATTCAATATGATATTGGCTGTGGGTTTATTATATAGGCCTTAATAATTTTAAAGAATGTCCCATATATGCCTATTTTGTTAATATGTTTTATCATAAAAGTGTGCTGCATTTTATCAAATGCTTTTTCTGCATCTATTTAGAGAATCATATGGTCTTTGCTCTTGCTTTTATTTATATAATGAATTACATTTATAGATTTTTGTATGTTGAACCAGACGTGCATCTCTGGGATAAAGGCCACCTGGTCATGATGAATTATTTTTTGATGTGCTGTTGGATTCGGTTTGGGAAGATTTTGTTGAGGATTTTTGCATCTATATTCATGAGGGATATTGGTCTATAGTTTTCCTTTTTTTGTTATATCCTTTTCTGGATTTGGATTCAAGGTGTTATTGGCTTCATAGAAGGAGTTGGGGAGGATAACATCCTTCTCCATGTTTTGGAATAATTTCTACAGTATAGATATGAGATTTTTCGGAGGGTTTTTTTGTGTGGTTTTGGTTTTTGTCAAATTCAGGAGTGAACCCATCTGGTCTGGGACTTTTTTTTTGTAAGATTTTTTATTGTTGCTCCAATTTCTGGGCTTGATATTAGTCTGTTCAGGAATTCCATTTCCTCCTGATTTGGCTTAGGGAAGTTGTGTGTTTCCAAGAATTTATTCATATCTTCCACATTTTGTACTTTGGGGGCATATAGATTTTTACAGTTTTCAAAGATAATGTTTTCTATTTCCATTATGTCTGTAGTGATCTCTCCTTTTGCATTTCTAATTGAGTTTATTATAATTCTTTCCTTTCTAGTTCTTGTCAGTTTAGCAAGAGTGTTGTCAATTTTGTTTATCTTTTCACAAAACCAGCTTTTGGTTTTATTGATCTTCTGCATAGCTTTTTTGTTCTCAATTTCATTTAATTTTGCTATGATCTTAGTTATTTCCTTTCTTCTGCTAAGTTTAGAATTAATTTTTTCTTCCATTTCCAGTTCCTTGAGATAGTGTATTAGGTTTTTTTTTTTATTTTTAAAGCTTTCTGTGTTTTGGATGTGAGCATTTAATGCTATTAGTTTTCCTCTCAGGAATGCTTTTGCTGTATTCCACAGATTTTGATAGCTTGTGTCCCCATTATCATTTAACTCAAATAATTTTTTGATCTCCATCAGAATCTCTTCCTTAATCCAGTAGTCATTCAGCAATAGATTGTTTAATTTCCATAACATTGTAAACAGTGAGTGTTTCTGTTGGAATTGATCTCTAGTTTTATACCACTATAGTATAAGAAGATACATGGTACAATTTCTATTTTTTTTTTTTTTATTGTTGAGGTCTGATTTGTGGACTAGGATGAGGTCAATTTTGAGAAAGTTCCATGAGATGATAAGAATAATGTATATTTGGCTTTATTTGGGTGGAATATTCTATAGATATCTGTTAGACACATTTGCTCTAACTTAAGTCCATTATTTATATGCTTAATTTTGTCCAGTGGATCTGTCCAATTCGGAAAGTAGGATGCTGAAATCCCCTCTACTATGGCATTATTGTTTATCCTGATATTTAGTTCATACAGTGTTTGCTTTACATATATGGGTGCTCCTGTGTTAGGTGGATAGATATTAAGAATTGTTATTAACAGATCAACACCTAAGTGGACATATAGGAATAACATTTATCAGGTGTCAGGTAGGTGGGAGGGGGACTGGGGATTGATATATACAAACACAATGAGTAAGATGTGCAACA